GAAAACGAATGTAAATAAATTTGTTCGAAGCCTCCGCAATTTTCAAGCGAAGTGTGTAAAGTGAACTCTCTGGTTTTGAAACGATACAAGTCCATTTTTGCGCTCTCTGGAGGAAACGAAACTCTCGAATAAGGATTTACCACAGGATTCGCAAATAAGAACTCGGGTTTTACGATATTAGTGCGATTTGCACGTAGATTACATGGAGTTCGTTGCATAAAAATCGTCGCGATTGAACTTGCAGTAGTTGAGAACCAGGGAGTTCGAACAACGTGCGAGAGTGTCGGTAGCGAAGGGTGGATGAGGAATTAAAAGCGAACTTCATGGCTTTTCTATCGGTGATCGATGCCTTTCGGCGAGCGGGGTCCACAGCGGGCATTTAGATCCTAAGGTAATGTATAAATGTAAAAAGAAATCTATTTATAGACAAGCTATGTTGGAATTAACATTGGCGCCGCGTGTCGCTAGAGAGAGAGAGAGAGAGAGAGAGAGTATATTTTGACAAATTGTTCGTCGTTTCCGAACGACAGAAGACTGATATTTCGCGGTCTTTTCGTCGACAAAGAGGGTTTTAATCTTTATTATATATTTTCCTCGCAATGCCTCTCTCTCTGTATAATGAATCGCATTTGTCACTGGAAACCAGTGATGTTAGAAATCGGCCGTTTGTAGCATACGATTGGAAGTGGAGGGGGTGGTTGGTGTTGCATATTGTATACGTGCGCTCGAAAGCCATCCTCTCTACTTCCAACTACATGCTGTAAAACGGCCGGTTCCTGACATCACTGTTGGAAACCCCGAGCGGAAAGGCGATCGAGTCGCGCGATTATAAGACCGGATAGAACATACATCACTGTTACAGCTTGTGTACTCGACAATTTTATGTGAATGTGAAAATTGACAAATCGATACGACTAACTTCGAAACAAATTTATTTCAACGGGAAGCATTTAAGTAAAGAATCACGGAATGAATTTGGATGAGAGCGACCGTGGAAAAATCGGAGCCACAAATTCGCCGTGAGTAGAACGTACTGTTATATTAATAAGAGAAAACAATGCGTTGCAATTAGATTGTTAGTCGGCCCGAAGATATGTTACATCATAGTGTATGCGAAGAAGAGAAAGAGAATTTCGTGTGAATGAGAGGGAAACGTGCAGGGGTGCGACGATGATGGAGGATGAACGAGATACGATAGTTCGACCGCCCATCGCGGAAACCCCATCAAGCGACTTCACGACATTTCGCGAAAACACAAAAGAAGAGAGGAAATAATCGCGGGAAAAAATAGGCGAGTAGCTATAAGGAATGGCGAAACGAGCAAATAGCGCGTACGTGGGAGAGACGAGAAAGTCGAACAAGTAGATTTTGAATCGAGGGAGCCTTGTGTTAAGTGCCTTCAAGTACGACTTAGATTTTAGGCTAGAGGAAAAAAGAAACAAAAGAGGCGCTGGGCGCGTCCAGCTGTGAACGGATTTTTACGGTATTATTCGACCGGATGTCGCCACATGCGTGTGCAAGATTCCGGCAGGATGCAGCTACTCGACGTGCAAAACACGACACGGAAGCTTCATCTTTTCACTAACGGATTATAAACCAAAAAGGAATTTAGTAATTTTTTTGCCTTAAAATAAAAAAATGTGTGTGTATGTGCATTATATTTTAACATAGATGCTTTTATTTCTTAAACTATATGCTGTGAAACAGTATGAATATATTCAGTTTCTCCATTTAATTATTTTTACAACTTGTCAATGTGATTACCTCGATGTGAGAATTCGTTTTAATAACGATAAAATTTCTTTAATCGAGAAAAGCGAATGCGCGCGCGCGCACCCACACACCCACACACACACACCCACACACACACACACACACACACACACACACACACACACACACACACACACACACACACACACACGTACCGAGAGAAATTTTGCAACGAGTAGCCCCATCGGCCGAAATTTCCCGTCGACATCCCGCGTACATCTCGAGACCAGTGATATTTTTTTAGAAATTATTTATTTACGCCGAAGGAAGCGGAATTTAATCTCAATCACTCGCCTTTATACTGCCAATATATATCAGCTAAGATGTACTCAACCTTTGTTGTCGATCCATTTTACATAACCGACCATGCCATCTATGCGTAACATTTTTCTTCCCCCGGTCTTCGCGACAACCGCAATATATGATCCCATGTGTGTTATTTTTTTTTTACATCAGTTCTGTATTTATTTCTAAAGATCATACGTTATTCCTCGTATTCCTTGTAAACAAGGACTTTTTTTGTTGCCCTTGTAACGTTACTTCCACGAAATACGAGTGTGTAATTCTTTCCTCGCGCTCCTTTGCATTTTGATTTTTTTGTTCGTCTTTAATTAACAGTACAATTATCTGTAATAAATAATAGCGAAGTTTAAATCGCGCCACGAGCGCGCGAGTAGAGCGTTGAGTGCGAGACGTCGCTTCGATCCACGTCCGCAAGCTTTTTTTTACTTTCGCCTCGACTTGATCGAACGTTTCGATCTATGCCCGCAACATTAATTCATCACGTGTCAAACACGTCAGATCTCCCAGCCGGACAGTATCGCAAACGCCGTCATTTCCTCCAGAGGACATTCGACGGACGTCTCGCACTCGATTTTTAAGTACGATACTCTTAGTACAAGCACAGTACTCGACTGTACAGAAATAGATAGAATGAGAGAGAGAGAGAGAGAGAGAGAGAGAGAGAGAGAGAGAGTGAAAAAAAGAAGAAGAAACAGAGCGAATGAGTAAGAATGTGAGCGAAAAAGAAAGAGAGAAAGAGAGTGAGAGAAAGGGAGCGAGAAAAAGAACACGTAAAAATAACAAAAACTCTAACTTCCGCTCAGCGCCTCGAACGCAAAACGTACTACTTGTAATCGTAACTTCTTTGTCGCCATGTATTTGCCAACGAACGATGATTTATTAATTATTATTTTTTCTTTTTGCCTTCATTTTATATTAATATTATTTAGAGAGCAACAATTATTAACGATTACTGCTACGATGATAACGATAATCTTTCTAGATAATTTTTTGCTTGTCTCTTGCGACAAATCCACACACACACACACACACACACACACACACACACACACACACACA